CTTAAACTAAAATGATTATTCCTTTAGTAGCTTTACCACCTGAGAAGCACCAGCAAAGACTTAGAAACATGTTAGGATATAGGGAAAGACTGAGTAGCTTTAAAAATCTAACCCTGATAATGTTCAACAATAGAATATATTCTTTTACTCAGGGTCCCTTTTTTTTTGGGGGGGTTTGGTTTGGTTTTGTTTTTAAGCCCCAACAAAAATCGAGGGCCTTTTGAGACTACCTAGAATAAAAACCCAGAGACCTTAATATATAGGCTCTATCAATCTTCTTCAGTCAGTCTACAGAATAAATACAGACAAAAAAACAGAGATGAAAATGTTTTTAATGCTGTTTTGCCTCTAAGAAGATAAAGTAAGAAAATACCTTATTTTGAATACATTTGTGACTTCAGTTTGCAAAAAATATAAAATACCCCAACCTAGGGAATCTGTTTTAAAGTACTCTGCTCATTCCTAGGGAGTCTCAACTTCCCCTCAGAGGAGAACAGATAAATTTTGAAGATGTTTCTCTCAAAACTCCTGAATGTGGACCTTGGGAAACATTTTTCCTTTTCTTAAGGTGGCTTTCACTTGACATCTTAACTATCACAAGCTGTGCTGCCTCACAAGAACCTCCTAGCTTCCCTTCCATCTCTCCTTCCTTATTTTCTTTCCAACTTTCCCCATTCTCAAAGAAATTTCCCTTAGAAAGAGCATGATTAGCATCAATGGAGGGAAAGCATTTCTCTTCTATCTCTTGTATTTTTTTATGACCTAATTTTCTTTTTACTTCATCAAGGGGAATAAAACACATGTTAACAAGTCTTCAAATATCCAAGCAGCAAAGACTAATGGCAAGCACCACAGAATAAGGCTTTCAAATAGAAATCTAACAGGATTTGTATATGTAATTTTCAACTTCCTAGGACTCATGGTTAAAAATGCAAAAAGAAACTAGTGAAGTTAATTTTCAGACTGTATTTATTTAACCCAACATATCTATTAATAATATATTGTCATTTTAACATACAAATAGTATAAAAATCACGAATGAGATGTTCTACAAACTTTTTTTTCCTACTCAGTCTTAAAAATCTGCTGTACATTTTAAACATAGGAATAACTGAATTTAAACCAGCCACATCTCAAGTGCTCAGAAGCCACATGTGGCTGGTGGCTATTAATACCATATTGGACAGGGATCAGTGCTTTAATTCTGAACATTTTCCTGAATATAAAGTTCAAAACACATGAGCCAAGACAAGAATTTCTCAAATCAATAATTATTAGTCACCTCTATCCCCTATACTACTATAGTGTTTGATACTCAAAGATGTCCAGTGCTATTGATATGTGAAGTTTCTTTTTTAAAGGACTATGGAAACTTTACCTTAACTTTAGTTCTGGTGCTGTGAAAACTCATTCCAACACACACACACACACACACACACACACACACACACACACACACACACTTTTCCCTACTGCAATAAGTTATTCCAGTATTGGCCAGGTGCTGTGGCTTACGCCTGTAATCCTAACACTCTGGGAAGCCAAGATGGGAGGTTTGAGTGAGCTCAGGAGTTTAAGATCAGCTTGAGCAAGATCAAGACCCCATCCCTACTTAAAAAAAAAAAAAATAGAAAAATTATTCAGGAGTCGTGGCATGCATCTGTAGTCCTAGCTACTCAGGAGGCTGAGGCAGGAGGATCACTTGAGCCAGGAGTTTGAGGTTGCTGTGAGCTATGATGATGCCACTGTACTTTACCCGGGGCTACAGAGCAAGCCTCTGTCAAAATAAGAAATTTATTTCACTATGTAAATGAGCAGAAGAATATTAGAAAACAGGAAATTTCATCTACCCTCTTAGCATTTGAGTCTAAAATCCTACTGAATACACAGTAAAGCATGCGCATAAAGAATTCCTTAACATTAAATTAGGTTTTGAAGTATTAGGAAGGCCCACAGAGGGGAAACCAAATCTAAGAAGACATCTTTCTAAGTAGCTTATAAGACAGAGGAGAGGACAGATATACTCCACCTGATATTACTTCATTTACTTGTCAGTTAAAAGCATATAAAACCACAGTCTCATGACAAAAACAAACAGCAGCAATGGTAGGCTTTATGAACGCCCAAGGTGGATTGCTTCCAACATCTCCCCAAAGAAATCAAGATACTGAAATCCTGCCTAGTGCTTTCCTACCTAAAAGACTGGTTACATTTTGAATCCAAATGTAGGTCTTCTTGTATACAGAAAGATGTTTTCTTTTTAATCAGATTCTTTTATTAACTACCTGCTTTAAGTGATGTCATTCTAGAGCAGGCTGGTCCACCCAAGACACAGCTGATGTACAGGGGGCTACAGGATCTGAAAGGCAAAAAGAAGAGGAAGGCAGAAGGAAAGACGGATGGCGGAGGTGGAGGAGGGAGAGAGGGAGGATGTGGGAAAAACTCAGGGAGGCCAAGTTTCATAACCGTTTTACAAATCATTAGAGAGGTGGTTTAACCTTTCTCTCAGCTCACCAGCTGCCTATCCTCTCTGCCTATTTTCCTTTCTATGTGCCCGCCCATTTCTCTTAAGCAAACAAGGGAAAGCACTGAGCATGCTCAGCACGTCATGTGCCTTCACTCCCATTAACCTTAAAATCTGTTTTTAAATGGCAAAAGAAAAAGTGCAATTAGCATGAAGTATGATAGGAATTCCTAAACCCAGTACAATTGAAGCCCAGAAAAAATTACTACTTCTACAAAAGAGGTGCATGTAGATGTGTGATTTTAATTGCATCATTATACTGTATCCCCTGGACTAACGTAAGTGCGGTAATTACAACGTGGAAGTGACAGGATGCACTTCAAAGGGGGGAGGGGCGTGCATATCTGTGATCTACACCACGGGAAGCATCGCACATGGTCAGGTTTTGAACAGCATACTAATTACCCCACATTAGAACAGAGGGTGTCACTTCTGAGAACAAACACTCCAATGTGAATCTGTCCCTTCATTTGCTATCATAGGATAATGGGTGCACATGGTAATTTTAGATGCAAAAAAATGTTTACATCTCTTGTAATGTCTTACTTAAGGATCTACTTATTATTTTGGTATACTATGTGCAATGGCAATATTAGTTTAAATGTAATAAAAGGACTTCCTCTACACTAAGTTGTCAAATAAATGTTCACTTTGAAGTTGGAAACAAAGGCAATGTTTTTCATCCGCCCACAAACCACACCAGAGAATAACCTGTGCTATTTATCAGGAATATGTAGCCCTGTTTGTCTCTGATTTCTAAATTCCCAGCACAAGTAGACTTGTGATCTTGTCTTCACAAGAGGCTGGTGACTTGATATAGCCTAGGCCTTCCATACCCTGTGGACTCTGGGCCTCGCTGACATTTCAGACACACGAGGATTCCAACCCTGACCAATTTTTCCACTACCCCTCCCCCAAATGCTAGACCTTAAGAACCCCAATTCCTGCCTGTGAACGTCAGGCAAATTGGCAGATTTAGATAGCTACTTTGTGGGTGTTCTAGAACATTTACATATGCATATGGTCAGGAGTATATAAGACACTCAGACTTGCAATACAATTCAAGGTTCTCACACCAACTGTTGCTAGAACAACACCACTGGAAAACCAGACACTAAGTCCCACCCCCACACTCTTTTTAGAGACCTTGTAACTAGCTGATCATACATTTTCAATGACACTGGTCAAAGAACAGTGAGGAAACTGGAAGTCATACAAATGATATGAATAGCAACCAGGAAGACACGGAACATTTCATTACTGGGTCAAACTGGATTAATATGTTGCTTTATTTAGGTTCTCTGTGAAACAGAAAACCACCCAGCCTTTAACTCATGGCTTTCATGACAAGGCATTCTACTCTCCTTGCATGACAAGGGGTTCTACTCTCCTTGCACAGGGGGCTTTGATGTCTTCCACCACAGACCTAATCTGCTTCTGATAAAAAAAAGTGCTGATATAAGGTGAAAAACAAAATAATCCCTATTCGAAACATCACTTCAATCAGGTGGGACAGAAAATTTCAGGAAGAACTAAGCCTATGGTTACAGCAGCAAAACTCTAAATATGTATACCAGGTCCTAGCATATAGGCTAGTGAGTATTCAGCTGTAAATAAATATTTGTCAAAGTAAAGGAAAATGTAAAGGCATTCCACTACTAAGTATTTCTCACTGACCATATACAGGGTGTACTCATAAAATAATAGGCTTGTTTTTGGAAGCTACAAAAACATCCACACCCAATGAGTAGCCTTCTTCAAAGCAAACTTCCAAAGGCTAAACTGGGATCCAAACACTACTATTAATATTTTTCAGCCCAGCTGTAGAACTTCTTAAGAACATCCTTCAGAATCAGTTAGTGAATGAGATACTAACTGTATCTTTAATAAATACATAATTCCTTGGTTTATAAATTTCTTGCTTTATAATCCTACCTCTGTTTTAAAAGCTAAGCTAAAATTGCATGATCAAACCCCTCATTCATTGAATCATGCTTTAAATGACTTTAAGCTATTATCCCAAATCAATCACACAAAACATTTCTATGGTTAAGATTATTCAAATGAACATGCATAAGCAACTCCAGAACTCCCAGAGTAGCCAGGGATGCAACCTTGTTGGAATAATCTTATAGCCTCCCACATGGACAACTCCAAATGGGCATTGAACTCATAAAATTCTTTGTGTCTGACCAAAATCAATCCCAAAAGCTTATTGTCATATTTCAGATAAGACTCCAAAGAATTTTTAAGCAGTTTTCCATCTTAGCACCTGATCATGTTAGTATAAATTTGGCTGATATACATTTTCATTTCTTTGTAACAAAATATAAGAAAATTCTATTTTTAATTGCTCTTAAAAGAATAAGAACACCTAGTCTTTTATATACCTTATTCAACTTAAATATCTTAGCTAAGAATATATGAATGCAATGAAATGTAATTCATCAGGTGCTCTTAACAAAGAAATACTTACGCCATGATGCCTGAGAGGTGAAACATTTCAGCTGTTATGTAGGACAAATAACTGTACAGGAAAACAAAGAGTGGCTCAATCACTCGGATATTATGTGTGAATCGAGTAGTAAATGCCGCTATAAATCCCAGGAAGATGCCAATCAACACTCCACCGGTTCCCACAACGAAGAAGTTAGCGATTCCCGCAAACACATCGATGGTCTCAATGGTTTTCATCTGGCAAAAGGACTTAAACAAGTTGTACAGGACCTGCGGGAGAAAGAAAACACGTTGTGAAGACCCTTTCCAATTTCCCCACTATCGTTTTGGTCACAAACACATTACCTGGCCTTCTAAAATAAGGACAATTCTTCTATGTGCCCAAGTGGATGATAAGTGGCAATTGTTGTGTATTCATTTGTCTCCTAATTTAGTATTGTGGCTTTAAACGAAAAAAAACTTTGAAAAAGGGAGTTGTCAGGAACATTATTTCTAGAAGTAAGGGAGAGGAGATTTCAAAGTTATTACATAACTTGTTCCTAAAACATTATTTTTTCCAGATATCATCTGAAAGTTTATTTTAAAATGTTTGTTTGCCATCCAGCACACCTTGCACGTATTACTACGGTTTGGGAAGTAGCATGTCACAGAGAAAGCCTGTCAGTGAGGCTGTGAGTGTACTTACCTTAGAAGGTCCTACTGTGGAGTCACACCATGGAAGGGACCCACCCATCAGTACAAGTGCCCAACCTGAAGCAGTTCTCCTCCCAGGTCACTGAGGGCCTCACTCCATACCCTGCCTCCTCCCCAACCCACATATGCATGGCTCATTTAACCAAAAGATCCAAAGGGATTTTCTTCAAGCAAAGAAGCAGCAAAGTCATGTATGTGTGTGTGTGTTTGTGTCTTGTGTCTGCTGTAAATTCATACATATTCAGTGTCTCTAAAGTAAATGCACCGTTCTGTTGTTTGGTGTCTTTACACAGTCTTGGTTTAACGAAGCCTTCGAGAATGCCAGGCACTTCACCTCTCCTGGCCAGTATGTTTTCCAATGTGTGTCTAGGGGCCGCTGAGCCAACTGAAGTGGGAAGTGATGGCTTCAGCTTTAACACTCTTTTCACAAAACCAGCCAGTCAAATACAAGGCAAGCAGGTGGCCTGCTCCTTTTCACTGTGATATTTACAACTCTGGGAGCATCCGGAATCTCCAGGGGAGCCAGCTGACAAGGACACTGGGGACAAAAGCTGTGCTACACCCTCATTTGGGTTCTGAGAAACTCAAAATTGTTCCCATTTGTCCAAGGTCAAAAGAAACAAAATGTCAGAGGCAACATTGGGATCCAGGTCTCCTGACCTTCTAGTTAAGTTGTTCAAGGTTCAACCATGGGGGAAGCGAGTGAGTCAGATCCCTCCTGCTAACCAGTGTGTGGCCTGGAAAATGCCATCTCTTGTGCTTTCTACTTCACTGTGGTCACTTACACGGCCTGTTACGTTACAGGCTTTACCATGCTTCTTTTTATTCCTCTTTTCTGCCGGATTATAAACTCCTTTTGGTCACCCAAAACCTTATTACAATTTGTATCTTTCATGTTGCCTAGAAAATGACAATAAATGTCTGTTGGTTTTGAAAACACAGAACAGAAAGCAGTGAGCCTTTTCTTTTGTCTTAATTTTCGGTGTAGCACTCAAGGGCAGTTAGTATCCTGCCACCAAGAACTGACTTCCGAAAAAAACAAAAGAGACTCACTCATGCCTTTCTCTTTCAATGTCTTAAAAAAATAATAAATAAAATAAAACAGACTCACTCCCCTGAGAACTTAAATATTTTGAAGGCATCATCACTTGCCAGACAGAGGAGAAACTGGCTCCAAGCAGCATCCACTTCCTACACTCAACACGAGGCTTGCTGCAGGCATCAGATTTCATCAGCATCAACATGGCACAAGTGCTTCCTGAGAGAGGATCAGAGATGTGCTATATATACCCCTTGCCCCCAAACAGCCAAAGCCAAAGGGGACGGTCACGGGCATCCTGGAGCAGACAGCAGGTTTCCTAGCCATCTGCTTCTGCATAGACAGCCTCCCTCCAGGCCCCGCAGACCCGCAGTTCTGTCCCCAGCCTCCAGCCTGCACTGCACCCCCGTGGCTCATCTCTCCCTTGCTCTAATGGACCTACAGCCACCGTGAGACTTACTTCTTTTAAAGGCTGCCATTCCATTTTCCATGCCCAAGATAAACTCAGTGACTGTCTGACTTTGGGGAAGGCTAATAGTCTCAATACGCCTGGTATACCTTTCTGATTTCCAACCACTACAGTCTGTGGAGGGTGTCGCCACTGCTCCAAAAAACACACCATGTATTTATTCACTCCTGCCCCCAGTTTTCTTTCCTGTCGTTTCTCTTGGCAGAAACCCAACCCCTATACCCAGGGAAACTTCATCATCTTCCAAGCTGCTGTTCCTCCCAAGAGCCCTCCTGGACTCCTACAGCCCTTTCCACTGGTCTCCTGCATCTTGTAGTGTTGGTGCCGCCACTTGAGCATGTGCCTCATGGCCCCAACAAAAAGGGAAATTCCTTTCATACAGAGCTCAGTCTCCTCTTTTCTCTCTCTCACCTCCCCAGCCTACCCCTACACGGGGGGCTTCCAGGGGAGCTCAGACATTCATTCCCCCAGACTAACTGGCATCAGCAGATGGGTTGGACATTCCTAATCCTTTCAAAACCATTTTCCTGGCAACTCAATCCATCATATCTCTCAGAAGTATATTCTGTTTTAAATATCCTTTTAGATTTTGCAAAGAGAAAAGCTGAGTGGCAGGCACTTTGCTTTCAGCACACTGGGCACAAGCTCTGTTTTGATCATCCACTGCCTGAGATGCCACGGCCGTGTTAGAGGACATAACTCAGGTAGAAGCATTATCTTGACAACCAGAAAACTTTCCATAGCCTCCCACCTGCATCACACCAAACCTGATACCTAGTGATCTGCACGAGATAACATTCTTTCAGTTACAAGTGGCCATAACTACATACTTAGTTCATTCCAGTTAAATCCTTTAATTTTATCACAAGGAAACCTAAGCAGAAAAGTGCTTTAGAGTTTTAATTTATATATGAATATGTATTGTGTGTGTGTGTGTGTATGTGTGTGTCTAATGTATGTGGGCCACAAATATGTCTCTAGTGAGTCTGTGCAAAATTGGCCTCAACTTTTGACACTTGTGTTTTTAGATTACAATCCAGTGATGCCTATTTACTATTAATAAATTCTGTAATGGCTAATTTGACAGCTGAGTGCCTTAAAATCTTTCAAATGATCAAAGGTATATTTTTTATAATTATTTTTTTAAACATAAACATACAGATTATATATTAAAATAGGAATTACATGTTTTGAACTTTGATTTAAAATGCACAATAATTCTACGAATTCATGTAAAGCAGGGATACAAACTACGCAAATACAGTTGTTTATCAGAAAGGCTCTGTTCCAGAAAAATAGTGTTCAGATAACTTTTTCTTATATGAAACATGAAGGATAATCATCTTTTCCATAAGGAATTTTAGTTCCATTCTGCTATCTGCAAAATCAAAATTAAATTCCAAGTCATCATTGCTTACTCTCCATCTTGCTAAAGTTGAATTCCACTACACAACACATAGTGGCTGGGTCACTGTAGCATATCACCAGCTTCTTTCTACAGAGCCAGCTCTCCTTAGCCAAGACTGGTTATGGGCAGATCGAGGAAACTCTTGAAGTCTCCTTGAAAATTTATTAGAATACTCAATGCAACTCAGTGGTTGCATTAGTATGTTCCAGAAATGAAGTTGGAAATTACCATGTAAACCTAAATCATTTGATTATGGACTATGTGGAAACAGCAGGACTTCTCAGATAACTGAGAACCTGAACAATCTGGAAATTTTCAGAAGTTTTCATAAAACATTTATCATAAGGGAAAGCACAAAAATCCTATTTAAAAATCACACTTTCATTTTCTTCATTTGTTTGCCATTTCTCCAGTTAATTCTAATCCACTGTAGCCCTGGACAATAGCATGAAGAATTTTGATCTGCAACATACATACTATCAAATTCTCTTGATTTGAGATATTTTTATGATAGGTTTTCTTCCTTTCAGCTTTTCTAGCTCAATATTGAATTTATCATGATTTGGGAAAGTAGTTAATTCCTCTAACCTGCAATTTTGCCCACCCTCCAGAGTACAATTTTAATATGAATTCTCTCTGGTTAACCTCTATTCTTCTGCCTGCCACTCCTAGTGACTCACCCTTTTTGCTGTATGCATCACAGTCCGAATTTTTAATAACTTTACCTAGTCTATGAGTTTCTTAAACCTTTCCTAGGGATTAGACCAGACGAATGAATAAAAGAATCTTCACATCTATAAAATATCTCCACCTCTATTCTCTGAGGGTAGCTGTCTTGGAGGCAAAGTTATCATTTTTTATACCATTGTTCTAATTATTACTAACACATGCTCAATTCTGTACAGTATTTAGCCAATTCGGTTAGAGAAACATCTAGTAGTTTATTCTCCGGCATTAGGGAGGCAAGACCCTGGACACGTTCTGATATCCTGAGGGTCCAAGGTACATAACTTACTGAGGAAGCTCTTTCATATGAAACCTCTACAGTCATTCTGACATACAGGCTCTGGCCATGGACGAAAGGCTTCCATCTCTAAATACCAGCCACGGCCATTCTCTGCCCTTGCCCTCCTTCCCTGTGGAAATAGCAGGCTCTTGCTTTGGCCACTGCCCCCTGCCCCACCCTGGGTCAGCCCTCCCTCTCCATCCGTAAGGGCACAGTTGATAGATTCATGCCTCTTGAGAGGAAGCACAGGATTCCTCTGGATTGCCCGCTGCCTTTGCACACTCTAAGCAGTGATTTAGCCAGATCCTTTCCTGAGATCTGATTCTGGACAAACTCAAAGAATAGACCACAGAGATGTCTGAATAGAAATTTTATTGGGACGGGGGGAAAGCAGTGTAAAGGCATGATGTGTCATTCCGAAACTGACCTGACTTTGCTGAACTCAATTAAAAGGAGTGAAGCCAGCGGTTCTTATTTCTTTATAAAGTTCCCATTACGCTAAATAGATTCACTCCAAGAATTCCACATTCAAATGTCTGCAATCTCCCTCAACAAGGGCAAAATGTACATATCAAACATAAGTCAAATGGAAAACTTGAGGCTTCCGGAAATGAGAATGAGTTATAAAATGTTTTTATTATTATGGCAGTTCCCCAGTTAAAATTTAATATTGGTAAGTTAATGACTAATCAATCAGTTAATGAGCAATGGAATACTTGAAGTAGATTCCGTTACATGAGTGAGGTAACTTAGCCTTAAAATAGCTGTCTTAGCAGCTATTCTAAAAATTATGATCAATAAATTATCAATAAATTATTTGCTACATAATGTTCACCTGGAGTAAATGTGCATCCTTAGAGATGATATTTTATTCAGTTCAGGGATCTGCTTTTACAGTCAAATATAGACTAACAGAGAATAATGGTGGTTTCTATGTAGACTTTTAAATGAGTGAAGAATAACATTTTAATGATAGCAAATGGAGAGGGTATTAAAATTAAGTTATTTAAGCACAGCTTACTTAATCTTTCTCTGCCTCAATTTTCTTATCCTATTCTCATAGGACGAATACCTATTTCACAGGTTGTCATACAGACCTGAGCACAAGGGAAGCATTCACAAAACAGTGGCTATCACTGCTATCACCTTTACTACTATAGAGCCCTTAGAACCGTGGCTGACATAAAACAGCATCACCGATGCTAACTAATTGATTTATCAATCCAGCATCACTTGAGTGTCTTTAATTGGTGGAGGTAGAGCTCTTTAGAGGTTTGTGGGTGAGGGCAGGGAGGCTCCCTCATCCCTTCTCTCCACCCTTGCCTGCATTCAGAAAGCAGGGTAGATGTAAATCCTGGTAACAGTAAGATCTAAAAGCCCCTGACTCTACTTACATTGAAAATAATTTGCATTTTCTGAATAAATACCCATTTATGGGAAAATGATGAGGACCAGAAATGTGCTGGTTGAGTTGTCATAGAAAGTGAGCAGTGAACATGTGACAAAAAAAATCCCTAAAACCATTAACATAATAAATAAACCATCACAAAATAGAGAATGGCACCGAGTAGGAACTATCGTTTCACCTGCATTATACACACTGTGTACTGATAGCATTATTTCTCACAAAGAACATTTTCAAAAATGCCAAAATGACAAATCAGCAGAGATACGAAGGCCACAATCACTTCTATGCTCCTCTGGCATGAACAGGGACTGGTAAGCAGGGGCCAGCTACATACTTTATGGGGGCCCAGTACAAAATAAAAATGAGGGGCCAATTGTATAATAACAAATGAAACTATGCACAATGAATAAAAATGTGTTAAGAGTTTCAAGGCAGCAACAACACAGCATTAAACCAAATGAAGGGCCCTATTAAGCAGCTCTGTGCAGCGGCTTCTGTGCAAGCCACTGCAGGTGGCTGGGCGGGCCCCATGTGCTGGAACTATGCAGTGTGAACGTGTACTCACCACTGTGACCGCGTCATTCAGCAGGGACTCTCCAAAGACCAGGATGTAGAGCTGCTCGTTGACGTGAATGTTCTCAAAGACAGCAAGCACAGCCACGGGGTCCACAGCTGAGATCAAGCTGCCAAAGAGCAGGTTCTGGAGCAAAGTGATGTCACTGAGGCCAAATGCTTCGATCTGGCAAATACCAAACAGAGACACCCCAATGCCAATGGAGTTCCAAAGTGTCCCTACCACAGCATACCAGAAAATGGTGCCAATGTTCTCAAAGAAAGGGCGAGTGGGCATGAAATAGCCAGCATCAAGCACGATGGGTGGGAGGAGATATAAGAAAAACACATCAGTCTTCATCGCAGGGGGAGACTTCTCATCAACGCCAAAAATAATCCCGCCGAGCAGAAGTCCAACCATGATGAGAAGGCAGCTCTCAGGCACTATCGTGGGCAGTTTGTGATAGAGATGGAAGCCTGGTAAGGTAAAGATAAAGACACCAAATTTGGTGTTATACAGGAATTCTGGAGACGGGATATTGGTTTCCTTTGACTGAACTAGTGGGTCCTATTTCACAGTCTCCCAGGTCAGTATTATTGGCTAGAGACTGGCTTCCTCAAGTACAGTGCAAACCAGAGGATTCCCTTAAAACTATTCACAAAGTACATTTACACACAAATGTAACTTTAAGTGAGAATCAAAACGTTACAGGTACACATTATCTATATAGTACAGTTTTTATTTTTCTAAATGCCTATTAAGTTTTTCTTAAATATTAGGGCCGTGGAAATGGAATAAAACAATGCAATTTAATATTGCAAACAATTTAGTGATTTCCAAAACATTTTCAGTTGTAACATCTCATTTCGTCCTCACAAAAACATTAAAGAGTAGGCAAGGCAGTTATTATCATAGTTAATAATTTTTTTAAATGTAAGTGGGAATTGAGGGTCAAAGAGATCTAGGGTCTCACCAAGGTGGTGTCACTTCCCAAGCCAGTTTTTGGGTTACTACTGTCATCTCTGGGATTCAGAAACATTTGTAATTTGTTTGTTTTTAATTTCAGATTTTTGCATTTGGAATACTCAATATGTTTAGTTTGGAGATGTGTGTTCCTTTGGAGACAACCGAATCAATCCATCAGGATGCCCTGAGTAACCACTGTATGAGGGACGCAAACATGCCATGACCTCTATTCTCAAAGGGTTCTCTCCCAATCAAGTTCCCAAAATGTGTTTATGACTTACTCTAATACAAGACAAAGTGTGACAAGCCCCAATCAAATGCTGTGAGAATACAGAGAAGGAGCAAATCTGCTGAGGAAGTCACCATGGAGGAGAAGTATCCAGGCATGGCTTAAGGGACAGACAGGCATTGAACACATAGAGGGGCATGAAGGGCCTTTTGAGAAGTAGAAAAGTGGAGGAACATATCTACCTCCTAATTCATGGTGGAGCCCAGTGTGGCTTTAATACAGAGAACATGATAGGCCTGTAGCAGGAAAAGAGGAGGGACACGTGGGATGAGCCAGCACATGGGGGCAACATGGGAAAGTGACTTCACCCATGAAGGTCACTGGACACAGCTTAAGTGAGGAGAGTTACTATTTGTAAGGTAGCAGTGAGTCACCCTGAAGGCATTCAGTACATTTTAGGATTAAAGCTGAATATGAGAACACTATGGTTTGAGTGTGTCCCTTCTAAAATTCAGGTGTTGCCAATGTGATAGTATTAAGAAACGGGGCCTTTGCGTGACTAGGCCATGAGGACTCCTTCCTCACTAATAGGATTAAGGCTCTTATAAAAAAGGCTTCTCACAGCCTTAGTTGATGAGCTCGCTCTTCCGCCCTTGCTAGCCCTTCTGCATTCTATCATTGGAGGACACAGGAAGGCCGAACACCAAGTACCAGGGCCTTGATCTGAGACTTCCCAGCCTCTAGAACTGTGAGAAAATACTTGTCTTTTCTTTAAATTACTTGTTTGTGGTATTCTATTGTAGCAGCAAAACCAGACTAAGACGAACTTATCTGAATTACAGAAAGATATTACAGTCGTGCCGCATTCAACATTTCCATCAACAGTGGACAGAACATACGATGGTGGTTCCGTTAGACTATAATGGAGCTGAAAAATTTCCATCGCCTAGTGATGTCTTGATGATCCTGACACTGCGTAGACCTGGGCTAAAGTGTGTGCTTATGTCTTAGCTTTTAACAAAAAGCTTAAAAAGTAAAAAAGAAAAAAAGAAAGAAAAGAATTTTAGAATAAAGCTTATAGAATAAGGTTATAAAGAAAATATTTTGTACAGTTGTATAACAGTTTGTGTTTTAAGCTAAGTGTTATGACAAAAGAATCAAAAAGTGAAAAAAATTAAAAAGTTTATAAAGTAAAAAATTACAGTAAGCCTAGGTTACTTTCTTATTGAAGAAAGAAAACTATTTTTTTTATAAATTTAGTATAGTCTAAGTGTACAGTGTGTATGTATAAAGCCTACAGTAGTGTACAGTAACATCCTAGGCCTTCACATTCACTCACCACTCCCTCTCTGACTCACCCAGAGCAACTTCCAGTCCTGTGAGCTCCATCCATGGTAAGTTTCCTATGCAGATGTACCATTTTTATCTTTTATACTGTATTTTTACTGTACTTTTTCTATGTTTAGATATATTGAGATACACAAATATTTGCTATTGTGTTACAACTGCCTACAGTATTCAGTACAGCAACATGCTATACAGGTTTGCAGACTGGGAAAAATAGGCTATACCATACAGCCTAGGTATATAGTAGGCTATACCTTCTAGGTTTGTGTGAGTAGACTCTACAGTGTTCAAACAACAAAATTGCCTAAAGATGCTTTTCTGAGAACGTGTCTCCATCATTAAGCAATGCATGACTATTAAAATGATAAAATAAGTCCTTAGAAACTTAAAATCATGCAAGTTTTAATAAGTAAATCCTTCAGAGCTTACAAACAGGTCTAAAACCATAGCATTAAACATTTTGTAATCCAAAGCACTATAATCATAATAATTTGAAGAGGTTTAAAGAACTATTAATAATTTCTAAATAATAAACTGAACATCTTCATGTTGGGTACTCAAATCCAGCTTTGATTATTTTATTATTTGTACCAGAGCATGCTCCAATAATTGGTGGGGACTAAATGCATTCAACTGGTCCAGAGCTCCCTACCCATGACCTCTGTCTAGTCCACTGACCTCACTGTTAAACAGAGAAATAAAAAAGACCCCTGAGACTTTCCACTGGAATGATCCAAATAGGGCTATGGCTCCACTTCAACTAATTTTTTTTTTCTGCCTTACTTCCATACTCACCCTATAAAAGCCTTACCCTCGTGCCCTTTCAGTGAAGCCCCAAACCACTCATAGTCTGGAGTTGCCCAATTCATGAATCAATGTTTGCTCAAATAAACTCTTTAAAATTAAAAAAAAAAAAAAAAAGACCCTGAAAACCACATCTTTGTCCCCTCATGCTGACTCCTGCTTCTACACACACCTCTTCCTGTATGATAGAGGTGTGCCATTAGCACCATCTCCATCCCCTGGCATCCGAGTGCAATCGCCTCTTTCTGTAATGTACCCCAACCTGAACGTTTCTTGCCATGTGCATGCAGGGCTGCTATCTGAGGCCTGCCCCCTGACTGGGAACCCAGCCCTCCCACCCTCTGCCTGTGACTCAGGATAGGTTACTAACATGCCCAGGCCCCACCTGCTCATCTGTAAAATAGGGACAAACGTACCTATCAGGTAAAGAACTGTAACAATAACTGAGTTGTGGACTACACAGTACTCACCATTGTGCAGTGTCACAAGTGCCCCCAAATTTTAGTTGTCTCCCCCTCTTCCAAATGAAAAAGCAAGAGAAAACAGTTTTAAAGGACGCACAGAAGCAATAGTCTCCAAGGAAGCAAACCGGAAAACGGGCGAGGTCTGTTTTGGGAGGCTCCCACTTCTCTTGTTGCTTTTTTCTTTCCTTTCACTGACCCAGCGTCAGTGGCCAGTGCTCTCCCATGTGGGTGCTGCTCTTCTTTCTGTGTTGAAAGGATATCCTTAATCCTAAGCGTGGAGGATGGGAAACCAGGTGGATGGGAGAAAGGAAGGAACAAAGATTGCTTAAATGCATCATTGAGGCCAATGTCTGCCAGGCTCACACGATGCCACTGGTCCTGAGCAGGAACCCGAGCAAGCAGAAACAAATCACAGAGCAAGTAAAACGCAGCAAAATAGATGCAGGATAGAGTTAGAATGAAGGGCCGCTGGGCCAGAGGGCCAAAAGGAGGCATGGAGGAAGTGAGGAGGAGAGAAATCTGGCAGTAGAAAAATTAGAAAAAAATAGCAACCAACCCAGAAACACTCGTTGAAGAAATCATGCCTTTGTATTTTAAAAAATCTGCCCTCCTTTATTTTATGAATGCTCAGGTCATTCAGAATCGATCTGAGTGAGCCTTTCTTGAAGTAGGACAATAGTTAACTGAATCTGCTGAATTGTCCATGGGCGAGGAGAGATTAAATGAAGGGTAGTCACACGCGATCTTAGTTCAGTGCTTTTTGGTGAACATGAGCAGAGAAACAGGATTGTGTAACACACTCTCTGCTGCCATAAAAGGTTTTGCGTGTAGGTGTCTGGGCTTTTATGAACTACCAGTGTAAAACTTACCAGCAAAGTATTAATAATTAGTGATAACAAACAAAAGTCTTCTTAAACTTCATTGTTCACAGAATAAAACATAAAAATCAAAAATTACAAATATTTATTCATTTATGGCTCTTCCCCGCACCCCCAAGTATTTCTTGAAAGGAAAATGAACTTGAATAGATGAAATCTGTTTTCCCAGAATGATCATCCCACCTAATATTACGGAGAAAAGTATCAGTTTTGGGGGAAAAAAATCAAATGAATTTTTTGATGATTTTGAAGACACTGAACATGAGCTGCTGCGGGCACAAAGCCCTGTGTAGTCCAGAGGTTGGCCACCTTTTTTCTGTAAAGGGCCAGAGAGCAATATTTTCAGCTTGTAGGCCACAGTTTACTCTGCCATTGGCGTACGCAAGCAGCCATAGATAATACTGAAATGAATGAGTGTGGCTGTGTTCTAACGAAATTTTATCCATGGACATAGAAACTAGAATTTCATGTAATTTTATATGTTACGAAATATTCTTCTTTGATTTGGTTACCCATTTAAAAATGTAAAAGCCATTCTTCACCCACGCACCATACAAAGCCAGGCTGCAGGCTGTATTTGGCCCCAAGGCTGTAATCCTAGTCCTCTGTATTTCCTGCTAACTTCTGATTATAATGTACCTGTGTCATTCAACTTTTATTACTAGCACATAAAAGTCTGTGAAGGTGGACGCTTATAAAATGTATTATTTTATTTTAGTTGCAATAGAAATTCACTTAGTAGGAAGGGGAAGAGGATTAGAGGTCTCTTATACAAAATACAGGATAGA